AGAGAGCCCAGCCTGCATACTGAGTACCTGATATATTCACAATCTTGTCCCATTTCTTAGAATCATAGAATCACAGAATGTTTTGGGTTGGAAGGGACCCCTAGAGGTCATCTAGTCCAACCCCCCTGCAGTGAGCAGGGACACCGCTAACCAGATCAGGTTGCTCAGAGCCCCGTCCAACCTGGCCTTGAATGCTTCCAGGGATGGGGCCTCCTCTACCTCTCTGGGCAACCTGTTCCAGTGTTTCACCACCCTCATTGTAAAGAACTTCTTCCTTATATCTAGTCTAAACCTACCCTGGTTTAGTTTAAAACCATTACCCCTTGTCTTGTCACTGCTGGCCCTACTAAAAAGATTTTCCCCATCTTTCCTATAGGCCCCCTTTAGGTACTGAAAGGCCGCAATCAGGTCTCCCCGCAGCCTTCTCTTCTCCAGGCTGAACAAGCCCAACTCTCTCAGCCTGTCCTCATAGGAGAGGTGCTCCAGCCCTCAGATCATTTTTGTGGCTCTCGGCTGGACCCGCTCCAACACTTCCATGTCCTTCTTGTGCTGAGGGCTCCAGAGCTGGACGCAGTACTCTAGGTGAGGTCTCACCAGAGCTGAGTAGAGGGGCAGAATTACCTCCCTCGACCTGCTGGCCACGCTCCTCCTGATGCAGCCCAGAGTACGGTTGGCCTTCTGGGCTGCCAGGGCACATTGCCGGCTCATGTCCAGCTTTTTATCCACCAGCACCCCCAAGTCCCTCTCGGCAGGGCTGCTCTCAATCCTTTCTCCCCCCAGCCTGTACTGATACTGGGGGTTACCCCACCCCAGGTGCAGGACCTTGCACTTGGCCTTGTTGAACCTCATGAGGTTCACACAGGCCCACCTCTCTAGCCTGTCCAGGTCTCTCTGGATGACATCCTATCCTTCTGGTGTGCCTTGCCAGGTATTGTGCCATGGCTAGGACTCAGGGAAGCGGTGGAAGCCCCATTTAGCTCAGATAAGCTGTTGTTATAGGGGCAAAATAGTTCACAGGAAGGAATTTAATACTTTCAGTAAAATGTGCTAGAATATCTAGCTTTTTACTATGCGGAACCAGACTCCATTTAGGAAATGTAAGTATTATATCAGCCTTTTATCAGTTTTAACTTTAACATGTGACTAATAATTTATTACTTGTAGAAGTAAAAATTTTCTAATCCTCCTTCAGGGAATGTGCTGTACTTTTCATTTCCTTGACCTTCTAAGTTTTCATCATTATTTATAGATTACTGCAATGTATTAAAATAATTTTCTGAACCAAAAAAAGGGAAAAAAAAAAATCTTCCATTAGGAATAAAATCAGAGGGGGCATGCAGAGTGTAATTTTTATCAGCAGATGTGCATAGTTGTTCAAAATAACTGCAGAATACTGTTTGGGTATGTTCAAAATAAAAATATTGACCAAGACAAGCTTTAAATAGTTCTGATATAATTTATGCATAGGATATGCAGTACATTTAGTGAATTCTTTTGCAATTTACTCCTAAAATAATGTTCTATTCCCTCTAATTAATTTATGTGACTTAAATAATAAACCTGGTAACTTTAATTATATTATGATTGGATGCAAACTTCAGATTGCCAAAGACAGGTGAAAAGCAAATTTCAGGAGATCTAACAGTAGGTCAAAATAATAAAATACCGAACCTATGAAACTAATGGGAGTTCATTACTGAAATAATGTGTCCATCTTATGTAATGCTTCTCTACCAGAGGAACTGCTAAAAGTCAAAGAGGAGAAACAGCTGGAGAATAGCCGGGCGGTACGAGGGCTGCAGTGAGAATTTGAAACAATCTGCTGAATCCCTCCAGCAATGAGAGTCAGGTCAAAGCAAAGGTCTTAGACCCTCAGCACTATTTCAACATCATAGAAAATTTGCATTTAGTCCGTGATCAAAACCCATTCACTGTGTTTTGGTTCTAAGTCAGACCACTAATTGGAAGGATCCTGTGTTGCATTTTCATGTGATTTTGTTGTTCTCTCTCCACTGTCCCTAGCTGGTTTGCAGAGCAGGGTATCTATCAACGCCCCCCACGACCACCACCAAACAAAGTGGTGTGGTGGGGAGTTTTGTGGGTCCCTTCATTATATGGTAGAGTTGTTGCTGTATCAGCATAGCTTAAAAGGAAGCTTAAAAGGAGATGCAGTGCGTTGGTGAGGGCTGAACAGCATGATTGCTGTTCAACAACATGGTGCTGTTCCTCTGCTGCTTCTAGGATTTAGATTCAGGGAAAAAGCTTTGAACTAAGAGAAACTGGATGCCAGGCACCTAAACTGCTCTTTTAATTAAGTCTGGTTATGAAATTATATGATCTTGGCAACAGCAATATCTGCTAATTGTGACTGCTTGTTCTGAATTTGTTACTCAGTTGAGTTACACAGGAACTAAATGTTCCTCTCAACATATTTTTTCCCTCCCTAGTAACACAATGAATCATGAAGGACATTTTCTATGAAAGCTGGTGCAGCCCAGACCCAGCTATAGGAAGAGATTAAGTTAGAAACAAAAATAAATGTTATGGTCCTGATTCTAATGAAAGTACAAGCACTTACTTCACTGATAAACACTGGTGATTTTTTGTTTGTTTGTTTTACCTCCATGTTTCAGCACATTCTGATGTTGTGTTTTGGAAGAACTTAGACAAGGTTAAATGCTTGACTGAGTCACGGTTTGGATTGCTGTGAACTTGGATGCGTGTTATGTCCACAGCCCCACCTACATCACAGAACCTGTTGGGCATTAAGCTGCTACAAGTACTTGGGCAGCAAAAGCTCTGGTATTTTTCCAGCTATCTAAATGTTTAGAGCAATGCAGCTGAGCTAATTTACTGTGGGACCATGTTGAACTAACTCCTGAACTAGCAAGAAAACTGCTAATTAGAAAAAGCAAATCAGTTGCACTACCTAATTTTTTGTATTTCCAAAGAGTGTATCAGTGGGGCTAAATGTCTTTTTAAAGATGTGGCTATTCTGCATCAGGAGACGTGTTCTAGCAGGGAGCAAGCACTGTCTTTGGCTCTGCCAGAGCAGAGGGGCAGACGTGGACTGTGCTGGGTATTGTGGCAGTGTGCAGTTGTTTTTCCTAAGAAACTGGAATAACTGAAAAGAAATATAGATTCTCCTGGAGAAATGCAGGTGGCATCACCATGTGTAGGACCCTGGAGAGGTCTAGGTCATATGGTCCAGATCAGGGTTGGATTTTGTCTGGTTTACCATCTAAGTAGTCCTATTGTAGAGAATGGCTGGCAAAAAATAAATGCTGACTGGAAAAAAAAAAAAAATTCAGATGGACCTATGCATAAACCAGCAGAAATTCCACCCTTTATGTGGCAAGTGTAAATGCCTGTCATCTAGTGTCGACTTGTTCCAATTGTGTTGGAACATCCCATCTATAATCCGCTACAGTTTCTCTGGTTTAAATCATAGGGTCAATAGCAAGATAAATCCAAGAGATTAATTTGAGTCACGTGATGCAAACTGTGCCAACAACTGTGCTTTTCTGTACTTAAGCTATGCAGCGCAGTGAGGATAGCATCTAAAAACCAAAACTCCCAAATGCCTGCATGAAAGTTGCATAACTCTGCAGGTGACGGTGTTTGTGTGTCCACGTGGGAGGCAGGTCGGAACCCCTGGAAGTAGCCCCTGGGCTCCAAACTGCACCGTGCTGTGCAAGAATGGTGCCTGCTGAAAACTGGAACTGAATCGTTGCTTCAACGAGCTTTGCTCCACCACAAGGTCATGGGGACCTTGGTAAGATTTAAGAAATGGAAAAATGAAAGCTGAAAATCTGATTAAAAAATAATTTATCAACAGGTCTGCTTACGAACTGTGAGCTGACACAGGCACTAAACACGGGTTTGCACAGACGTGGCCTTTGTGTCTTGGTATCAGTTTTCATTAACTGCATTCACAGCATCTAAGAGGTCGCACTGTAAAAAATCATTTAGACTATGCCATGAAGTAGCGTCGTTGACTTCTGTGTAGCCCTATTGCTTTCTTCTGGGTATACTTGGATACCCCAAAAGGGACATCTGCCATTTGCATTAGGAGATCACTCCCACTGAGGTGGGTGATTGCCAGAGAGGCATTCTTTACTATTTATACCTTCGGATACTTCTGAGCTGTCATCTCATTTTCAATATCTCTATTTTTTCATCTTTCTTCCAGAGAAGCCATCACCATTCAGTAAAAAAGATAACACCAACTCTTTTTAATATGGTCAATAAGCTTGGATTTTTTTATTCCTCATCATTATTTTAAATAAGTATATGAAAAAGAAGTTTGAAAACTTTTGCTGTCTAGTATGAAATGTATACGGTTTGCAGACTGCAACTGCATTTCAAGCAAATTCTCTTGCAAACACTCTGTATTTTATACAATAGCAATGCAATTTGTTATTTGTAGATTGATCGTCTGGCTGCAGGCAAACTTTGAAAGCTTTCACATATAGTGCTTTTATTTTAAGCTTATTAGTGGCTTTAGATACAGAATTCAGATTGGTATCGAGGCTTCTTCTGTATGCCTGGTGGATGAACATTGTATAAACAACACTGGTGCGTAGCCATGAAAGAATCCATTCTAACACTTGGTTCAAGATGTTAGTTGCAAGAACATTGGAAACTCAAAGGCAAATAAAATAACAAGTGTATTTGTGCCAGCAGAAGCTGTTTTGTTTGTTACTCGTTCAACATTAGGTATTCAGCAAGATAAATGACTGGCAGAGAAAAAGTTTATTCTTTTTAGTCATAGAGAAGAATGAATATTTATTATTGAATAAACTCTGACTTCTGACATTCTTAAAACCTCCAGCTCCACAGTGATGTGCTGGAACCAGCTGCGTTGGCTTGACTGCTTATTATACCTATGCTGGCAGAGAAAACTAGCATCGTAACTTATGTTGTTGCTTTGCTTTCTGTGTGTTGACATACGTATGTGTATTTTTATTCCTGTTCTTGGGAACGTTTTACAACCAGGCTTAGTTCCCTGTGTAAATGTATTTGATTGGTGATGCTTGATCCTCCAGGATCAAGCTGTCTGTCTCATTGAAGGTGTCACTTTCACCAGAGTGATTGGCATTTTTTACTCTGTTTAGCCGAGACTGCAATCGTTCATGTTCTTTTCTCAACTCCGAGTAGGAATGGGAGAAAGTGTGGAATATTGATGTTGCAGGAAAAGACATGATGAGAATCCCACTGAGGATGCTGCTCAGAGCCACCATCTGGCCTGGGACGCTCCGTGGTACCATATCTCCATACCCCACAGTGGTCATTGAGATCACTTTCCCTGATTCATTCTCGGCGAGATAGACCAAAGGAGAAAACAGAGTGACGGCCACGCATAAGAAGAGTAAAAGCAGGCCAAATTCCCGTGTGCATCTCCGAACTGTGAGGCCCAAAGTCTGCAAGCCCAAGGAGTGTCGGGCAAGGCGCATTACATACAAGATCCTCAAGGCACGTAAAACCCGTAGCACCAAACCAACCTTCTCCAAATATGTGTTGCTGCTTGGCCTGTCGTCCTCCTCATTCGAGTCATCCTCTGAGAAGATGAGGGAAACATAGTAGGGAGAAATAGCCAAGAAGTCAATGATATTTAGGGGTCCTTTGAAGAACTGACACTTGCTCCTTGCCTGAATGAATCGGAGGCAGAACTCCAGGGAAAACCAAGCCACACAGATGGTCTCTATGACGAAGATGTAATAGCACTTCTGGGAACACTCGCCCTGACACAAAACAAAAAGAGAGTTAAATAAAAGAACAGTCTGTGAACCAGCATCCAAAAATGCTAAGGAAGAAGCAATATGTATCTGCTTGAGTCAGTGGTATCAGAAACGAACAAATCCCAGCTAGCAGGTAGTCGTATGGCAGCCATCTTTCAGTGGTGTATAGGTGATGAATGAACAGATTATATCTACCTGCTTATTTTTATTATGTTGCTTCTTCCAGTCTGAACGAATGAAACTGGTCTCTGTATAAAGTCTTGGCATGCAGCCTCTAATTCCCAAATAAGGTTCACTTGCTGCTCTCAAACAGAAATTAATTTAAACTTGACTGGTTTATAAGCCTGTACAAAAATCAGTTTCTCTTCAAAAGAAAGATTAATGTTTGAACATTTCTGTAAACTTCTGATGCCGTTCAGTGCACGGTGCTTTCACAAATGCTGTGTACACTGGCGCAGTTAAAAGTGGTTCAGAGTTATTCGTTAAGTCATCTGGATCCTTGGCTCAGTTATGCTGTATATAAATCACGTTTCTTTCTGTACATGCAAATGTTTTAATCTAAAGGAGAATAAATACCCACCCAGCAGGTGGAACTTGACCTGAAGAATCCTCTCCCAGTACTGAGGCCACATGCTACAAGCGGTATTTTCTCGGTTTAGTTATCAAAGGCATTGCTTTAGTTGAACTATCTTGGGTTCACTTTTTTTATCTTCCTGACCTGAGCTTAAACAATGAAAGGAACACGTTGCTTTTAAATACTGGTGTCACTGCTTCCTTACGCACCCTATCTATCCTACTGATAAATACATTCCTGCACCTGTACAGAGAATTAATATGTTCTTAAGAAACCTGGTCTTGTGATTGGACTAATGCAGGTTTTTTGCTTTTAAGCATTGTGAATAAGTTTATTGAAGAATTCCACCTGACACATACTTGTATGATATTTTCACAGTGGCTTGATGCTATTTACATTAAGATCTTGTATCAGTGCAAATATTTGGATTACAGTTCTAATCCAAAACCAGTTCAAGTGAACTGGAGTCTTTTGTGGACTTTGACTGACTTTGAAGCAGCCTTGTGTACTTTTCTTTGCCGAGCATATTATGAAAACACTGGGATATGAAGTGTATGGCCCTTGAATTTTTGGTGAAGATGAGAAATCTCAGCTATAACTGGGAACTAGAGATTGACTAGTATGGCAACCCTTTGAAATTCCAGGCTGGCCTTAGAATCTGGGTTTTCACTGCATGTTCCAGAAAACATGTTCCAAATGTGGAAGGCAGTAATTGCATTTTAGATTTTTAAGCTGCTTGAAAATTCATATTTAGCAAATAGCTCTTTCTAGCTACAACTTTTGTACGTGAAGGCTTAGCAAGGCTGAAGAGTATTCTCCTTGTATGCTTGCTGAGCAGGGACTAGCGTCTCCGAGATGTTCACAACTGCAGAAGATCTAGCAGAAGTAGTGATAATGAAGGAGAATCTGTCCAGAGAAAGAACCTCCTTTTTGGAGAGCAGAGTGGCCATGTGTGGTCCTTGGTTTGTGAAAGGCTTTTTTTGTAACCTCTGTAGAATGACCTTGGGGCTGCTGTATGCATCTTTCCTGATAGCCTGTCTCTGAAATTAAGCAGTTGAGAGGAACAGTTCCTCACACAGTGTTATCCATTCTCAGCCAACTTTCACAAGCAATATTGATTAAAAACACCACAGGAAACCCATACCCCTACTACTAATTAAACTTACTGCCAATGTTCATTTACCCTCTGCATGGCAATGCGATGCTGGTTTTTTTAGTGTCCCTTGTGATAAAATTACTGTTATTCTTGGGAGGAACAAGTCTTTTTTGTTCAGGCAGTGTTCATATCATTGGCTATCTGAGGTTCCCTAGGTAAAAAAGTAATATATCCCTTATGTACATGTTTTACCCTGTCTGACCCCCAGAACAGTTTAGCTCTGTAGCACCATTTGGGGATTTTTCCTCTTTCTGAACAGTAAACTGTCACGATCATAATTTATCTCATAAAGTAAACATTACAAAATGTAATGAAGGCTTGGCCCTGCTAGAGTTATGCATACAGGATCAGGTTATAGCTCCATTTGAAGTCATTGCCATGGCAGTGCCTAGAGTGCATTGATGTTTGCAGAGCTGCTGACTTGGCTTGATGAGATTGCTTGCAATCAGCAGTTGTGTTATGCAGTGTTCACTTTTTCTGAGTTGTAAATTATTTGTACGGTGCAGCCTGGACTCTGCGCAGACCTGCCTGTGGTCGCTCTAGTCATGTGGCCTGTGAATTATTCATTGTTCCCATCAACATTTATTTTATTTTTTGTTAACTAGGCTGAATTTCCAGTACATCTGTTACTTATTTACCTTCGTACATTTACAGGTGACATTGCTCTTAGATCATCATGTAGCTTTCACTATTACTTCCTTGGAAAAGACAGGGAAATAAATTTTGTTTGATAGGCGTTTTAACCATTGAGATCTATGGTGTCGTCTGAGCTGAGTGTGAAATTTCAAGGTGTAGCATTGTAAGGACTGGTTGGGAGATTTTTTTTTTCTTCTTGCCATCCTTGGTTGCCTCAGTATTCCCCATGGAAAGTTATATATATTTAGAGAAAGTAATTTGTGCCGTCAGCTTCCTAAGTGTGTATTTCATTTTTCAGAAGAGCATCCTTCAAATCAAACTTTTCAGGAATGTTACTGTGCGTTTCATTTCTCCTTTGTGCATAGCTGTGGATGTAAAGGACGGTGAGTTCTCCCCTGTTAGCACACTTTGTCTTTTTTATGTACTTTGCAAAAGACATTTCAGAAATGTTTGCATACGATTCAAACCACAGTCCCTTTTTCTGCTGCGGCAAACAAAAGAGTCACAGTATCACAGGCTCTGACACTGTGACTAATGCAGAGAATTCTGTGCTTCATTTTTTTTGGAAGAGAGAGAAAAAGAAGGATGTGTTTGCTTCAGACATGCCTACACTACGTGAAGGCCTGCAGCAAAACCAGCCCTGTTTCTCTCAGAGGGAACTGATTTATCTATGCAGCACAGTAGTTCTGTATGGAGGTGACTAACTCGAGCCCTAGAAATAATGCAGCTGGGCTACCATCTTGCAGCAGGGCCATTTTACTCCATTACATAGCGTAGACGTACCATGATTTAGCCAGTCCATATACAACATCTGCCAGAAACTTCCAAGCCTCTTTGCCTGTCTCTATCTCTCTGTCACCAGTGTCTGGAAAGAGAGTGTGAGACCCTGGCTCTTTGGGATTTAATGAGAACATGCTCATTGATTTCACATTGGGAGATTTCATCCAGTGAGTTTGCATATGAATGTTTTACATACATTAGGAGTATTTGTATATATTGGGCAATACGTGTGATATGGTTTATATAGAATATTCCTCTCTAATATCAGTCTCTTTGAAGATTCTTGAGCCTTTTGAGCATCCTGTTCAAAAGCAGCAAATATTGGAATAAGAGAAAAAAAGAGAAAATATTAAGTACCAAAGCCAATTTCCATCTCTCCTAGTATTTTTGATGATTTTTGGACCTCAGAGCACTTTATGTTCCAGTTACAACTGTTGTCCAAAGAGCCGGCAGAATAACATACTGACTGCAAATTCTGTGTTCTTACCAAAATACAGATGCCTCTATGTCAGTGGTAGATTTCAAATTTGCTGTTGTCACCAAATTCCTGTTAGATGTTAGTTGCTTTCAGTGAGCTGGGAAATTATGGCCCAAATACTCTGACCCATGAAAGGGGTTTTTTTGCATAAATGGCCAATAAAGGAATTCCTGTGCCACAAGGACTTCTATGTATTTCCTCTTTCTGGACAAAGCAGACATGTTTGAGAAATTCTAGTGATCAGTGCCTGCCAGCACAAACCACAAGAAACAACTCCCTCTCTTGTCCCTGCCATTAACTAGAGCAGAACTCTGAGCTTTTCTTTTCAGATCTTTGAGTCAAATTTGTCGCTGACTTCTTTCTCCTCCTGTCTGCATTTCTGCACCCCAAGTACCGTGGTGTAGTTGGACCCATAAAAGCTCCAAGTGAGTATGGTGTTGAGTGTGAGCATGAGGGGAAGATGAGGTTTTATTTATAACTGACCACAACATGTTTTGGGTGGGCTTTTTCAACAAAACCCTTGGACATGTTCTATGCTACCGTAGTGTCAATCAGCACTCAAACTGTCGTCGACTGATGGGAGAACAGTTGTCACAAAGCCAGTGGTGAGTGAGTATCTTACTCTTTATTCATCCTGCAGATTTACTTTTGAACAATGCAAGAATGTAGCAGGATTTATGGCACTTGTCTCAAGCTGAAATTCTACCACATATGATATAAATGTAATAAAACGAGCGCCTGGTATTGATCTTATGTAGGAAAAGAGCATTTGGCTCAGCAATGAGGGAAACAGTATTTTCTATGTAAAAAGATATATACTGAGCCTGATGCCTGAAATATTGAGTGATTTCTTAAATTTATAAACCACCTGAAAGAAGCAAAGTGGCTGTTTCAAACTTCTGTACTACCAGAGATAATAAGCAATTCATGCTTTCTCTTCATTATTGCCTTCCACTGTGTAAGGCAATGGCTCATTTTCTGGGTTCTCGTATGCGTTGGAATGTTTATGGTGTTACAGTGAAATTGCTCGGTTTAGGATACTTCTATTATCTCCTCTTTGGATATTAAAAAATAGGCTCATAACAAAATATAAGAATGGCTGTACCGAGTCCGCTTAGCCCAGTGCACTGTTCCAACAGGCTGGGAAAACAGATGCCCAAGGCAAATCTCCCGCCTTCTATTTTCCATTCCAGAGCTTCCTGAGCTGAAGGTGGTGTTCGTGTAAGCAAACTGAATTGCTCTTCTGTGAAGTTGGGCCATTCTTTTGTCTGCTGCCTATTGCCTGGAGACTCACCTCTTGGCTTTGACCTAGCTTCCCAGTAGTTTTATCGGATGCCCCTAAGCTCTGTCACTGGAAGGGACGCTGGTTGCTTGATCGA